GTTGATGTGTTTCTTAAACAATGCGCAAATGTCACAATGCCAGGATTAATATATGTTTAATATATAGGTTTGATAAGATTTGTCACACAGCATGTCATACGGAATGTGAAAGACACGGAAAGAGTGAAGGGGAGAGCTCTTCATGCCTACCAAACGTTGATTACTCGTTCAGTTCCGAGGAAGGAACGGATTCCTTGCTGTCCCTAAAAACATGAGTTTGTCACGGAGTTCGGTAAGCGAACGAGCAGCACCGACATAGGGTTTGAATAAGGTCCCGCCAGAACGAGGAATATGGTTGGTGATGAGAAGGCGCTGCATTCGAATTCAGGGGCAGGAGGGTGGAGAAACACGCTGAGAAATTCCAACTCTTCGGAAGAGCTCAGGACCATTGAGATGTGACGTTGGCCGAATTCTGAGTGGCCGCCGCAATGTGCTTCTCCGCTGTCGTGAGCTGAGAGCTGGGAGTCGGTGTTGGTGGGGAAGGCAAAAAACCTGTTATTCGATGGTTTTACTCAAAGTATCGCGGTCCTCGTAACAGGAGCTCCAGACTGGTCAAACAGACCGAGATTACACACGAGGATCGGAGTGGCGTGGCAACTACTACTGCAAATCCTCGCCGAATCATGTGCGCGCGAATTGCAATGAATCGCGACGACAGATTCAAACTGCGGGGCCAGTGGTTTGAATAATGACACGAGGTTGGTGAGCTTGCTTGGCGATCCATGCAAAGCATCAGCCTGAATATCCACGTCGTGCTTAGTGCTGCGAGTACTATAGTCCACGATTTGTTGCGACGGGATAAGTGTTAGGGATCAGCTTTAAACCCTAACCCTAATTTTAGGTTTCATTACCTCTATGGCTCAGCAACCTAGTTTGTTTTTGTGCTTCGCAAGTGATCATTGTTAAAATCATGCATGGATTGCTTTCAGATTCACGTTTTAAGAAACAATAAAATTAAACTGATAATTATTTAAGGTGTTTTTAATTTGAATTCTTCTATGGCTTTAATACATATGGAGAACCTTGAGATTTTATTGTTCTGTAAAAACTTACACTTCTTCAAAAACTTTGTGTGCACAACAGACAAGTTCTCAAAAGTTATGAAAAATAAGTACTAAAATATATATATATATATATATATATATATATGTATAATTATTTGTATAATCGTAATAAAATTTTACTATAAGAACTTTAAGAATGTAATAATGTTTTTAAAAATGTATTAGATATGAAAAAAATTGTATAGAGGAGAGAGAGATTATGTAAAGGAACTTATATTGGTTGTACAAGCAGTAAAAATAAAGAATACCATAGCTCAAATGCATAAACATATGGGAAAATTAGTGCTTACAATACATCAATTTTAGTCACTACCTTAATCAACATCAAAAGTGATTAGTTAGTGGGACTTAGTGTTAAAGAAACACAAAAATTGCAAGAGTTTCTTTAACAGTTGTACTACCATAAAAAATATAAATAAATAAATAAATAAATAAATATTTATACTAAAAATATTATTTTGAAAAATTCTAATCATTAAAAAAATTTAGAATCACTCTTTGTAAATTTGTTGATGGGAATAAGTTTTAAGATTTAAAGTGTAATATAAGTACATACATATAAAAAAAATACCAAAAAACTTGAAAAAAAATTCAGCACAGTTTGGATTTTATTAAAAAAAACTGGTTTGCTTCTATGTTTGTATTACAATTCTAACAACTGATTGATATCAAGAAGGATGGCATTGTACTTAACAACCATTTTTTTACAAGTCATAACATGATGAATATCAAGTTTTGGTCAATATTGCAAGCTTTAAATAATAAGGTAATTAAATTATTTTCTCAATGGAATCAAAACTCATTTTTTAATGTCCACTTACAAAGTTGTGATTATTCTTTGATGTTCCTTAAATCTTTTAAAACATAAATCGATTGTATAAAATATAATCAAAATATATAAAGTTAAAGATGTACAGTTTTGTTACTAGTTTCATTTGATATATAAAATCCTATATAAGTATATTAGTACATATTGTAAAAGAAAAAATAATCATCATGCATATGCATATATCATTGCTAGCTCAAAAATTGGCCATGAAGAATTTGTTATTCTTTATTTGATATCTAAGATTTTTGACCAATTGAATAAAACCACAAAATATGTCAAAAAAAACATTACAAGAAAAAAAATAAAAAATAAAAAATAAAAAATAGTATACATTAAAAAGAAATATGAATAGAAGAATTCATTTTTGGCTCAACAATACTAAAATATGTTTTAAGCATTCAATAAATGATGTAGTATTAATATTATTTAAATATTTGTAACAAAAAATAAATTTATGGATTTGTTTTTAAAATAAAATTATTTTTTATAGTGATTGTTAAATCCAATAATTAATTTTTTGTATTACAAGAATTTCATTATTTCTTAAGTTTTTGTGAAGCCTATTGAAGTATGTCTGTGTTAAAAACATTATTCAACATCACATATTACATAAGCATTAGAATGGTTTATTATATGCTTGTCCAGACACTATTGGCTTTTACCTAAAGAAGAAAATTTAGATTGTAATTAACAAACTAGCTATTCTTTTAAAACCAAGAGAATTAGCCTTCTTTATATTAAAAAAAACAGTCTATTATTTTAATATGTTTTGATAAATTTTGTCAAATTATCTTTCTAATCCTCCAATTTAAACCATTTTCTTAAATTCTTTATAGTATTTGTACTAAATTAATAAAATACATGTTCAAATATATTTATACACTTAAAAAAGTTAAAATATTGTTACTTGTGCTTCAAGCTCAACATGACTTCTAACTCTAACATTTTGAATGTGATAAAAATTTGGAGTTTGATTTGTTTTAAAAAAACAACCGTTTTAAATAAAATATATTTTTATTTTTTTAATATATATATATATATATATATATCAATTGTTTAAATTTTTCAACCACTACATATAATAAACCTACTATGATTACTTGTTTTGAGAGACTTTGTCATAACTCTTGTAATCCTATCTTTGTAATGGTAGATTTTAAGATCTAAATAGATAATTTTGTACCTTGTAGAATATTAATAATAAGAATATAATAAATTATTTTTTGATATTATTTATAATCATTATAGACTCTTTATTAATGTTACACTTGATTTTATACCCCAATTTTTGCTAAAGTATTAGAAGATATTTTATTAAAATATGAAACTTAAAATTCCAATTTTAAATGTATAATTCTAAAGCTTGTTCTTATGTACATAATATGTGGAAACTATTCAAAACCATGAGGAATTTATTCTGTTAAATTTTAATTTTTATCAATGTTATTCACTAAATCTAAAGACCAGTTTTTTATAACAATACAGAATTGTTATAAAGAAAAGAAGAAATAATTTAGTATTTATTCATTATTATTTTACTGTTTTAATATATTCATAAATAAATTCTAAAATAGTCGAAAATCCAAAAATTATCCAATTCATTTCAAGAAATATTATGCAAAAAACTAAAAAATAAACCTCTTGGATTACTATAACATTTATGGTATCAAAATCAAGATAAATATCTTCAAAAAGATGATTATTTTTCTTAAATACATGGATAATTACAACATGTTTGATAATTCTACGTTTAAAGAAAATTTGATCCTTGGTGATACTATTAGAAGTAGATACTATATCAAATGATATTTCAAATGTTATTTTTGACCTTGTCACAAGTATCTCAATAATAATCAAATAAACAAATTATAATCTAAGTATAAAGCATTATTGATGGTTTAATAAACATATTAACAATTTCTTTGTAAAACATTAAACGAAATTTGTTGCAAATAAAATTCAATACACCCTCAACTATATTAATTTGTAAAGAGTCTTAAATATTTTTTAACATTTGTAAATATTATGTCTAAAAATGTATATATCACTTATATCTATATTATTGGAGTAAATAGTGATAAATAAAAATACTTAGAAGTAATTAAATCATGAATAGTGTATTCATTTCAAAAAATATTGAAACTTCATAGATATTAGTTGTATTTATGGGTATTTTGAAATATATTATAAACTATAGAAATATTTTTTTATAAAATTTTAAATATACAAGCTATAACAATAATGTTCTAAAACTTAGGTATTTTTTACAAGAGTCTTATAGTTCTTTAAAAATTTCTATATGATCTTTTGATCCATTAGTATAGACAAAGGTAAGGTTTAAACTACCATTAATTTTGTTAACATATTTTAGTGTTACAATCTTTATTCATAGTTTGGTAATTACCTTATATTTTATAATAATTACTTTGATTACATTCATCTTTGTAAAAAAAAACATATATTATACTTGAAATATAAAACTTATAATAATATTAAAAATATAATTAATAATAACAAATTCATAAAATTATTGAATTACAGTTGTGGTTTTATTAATTATAGTTTCTAATTAAAATAAGATTCAATCAATAAAACATTTCATTTTATTATCTTTTAAAATTCAAATTCTTCACTATTAGCAATATTTTTAGAGTAATATATTAGATAAAACTTTTTTATAAATTGAATAAATTGTATGATAATATACACCAATTATATGTTAAAATATATATACACACATGTTTTATATTTCAAGTATAATACATTCAAAGATTACTAAAAGTCCAAAAGATGACTAACTAGATTGTTTTTATGACTAGCTAACTTGTATCCAACTTTTTCATGTGTTGACTTTGTTAGAGAGATCTACCACAACATTTGTGTGTTCAATTGCATTCTCTTCCCCTTGTATACATACGTGTATATACATATATATATATATATATATATGCCTATATCCAACATACTAAAAATTGAATATAATAATAAAAACTGTAAGAAAAAAAATGTAGGGAAAGTAGGAATAGTTCCACGATATCGCCACAAACCGGCAGACCCCGTCGATCCGAGGCCTTGTGTTGAATAATGTTCGGCATGGCCCCTCGCTCACATGCACGACGCGAGGGATTCGATCCAAGCAACTCTGACACTGCCGCCAAGTTTACCGCAGATTGTGCGCAGCATCCGTCGCGATTCGTGATCCACAATCCATTTGGCAGTCGATTGTCGTCACCAAGCGTACACAAAACCATAGAAGAATTAATCGCGGTCGCCCATTTGTTGGCATTAGCAGAAGGTCAATGTTTGTTTTTGGCGTACAGAGCTTGGTCGTCGGGATCAGTCGTTAAAATAAGGGGGGAGATCGAGTAAGCAGCACTCCGCCGATGGAGAAGTTCGTGGGATTGAGCGCAGACAGCAGCTGCTATTTTAGATTCGTGCTCTCCGAGCTGTTCGAAATTTGACGCTCGTCTGCGGTGGGCAGGCTTGGAGGGTTCTGGTGATTCGTTGCAGCTGCCGGGCTGACAAATCTCTGCAACCATAGCATAGTGAAATCAGAAGGTTGAGTAGATCCATTCCACTGATCTTGTCCACAGGGATAATCATGCAGTCTTTTCGCACTTTATTGCTTGGAGCCGAGCCCGTCTCCGAGTTCAGTGTGAGGATTTGTGAGTTTTGTGTGTGTACGTGGATTGAAATGGTAGTATTTTGACAGGTTGGGGCCTTCGCTCTCTGGTTTTTGACGGGTGTCGTAATGAGAGGGTTCATCGCAATGCAATGCGTGTTGAGCAGGCAGAGTGGAGCGGCGTTGTTGTGGATTACAGCGAGCAAGCTGATTTTTTTCCTTCTTGCAGCTGACGGGCACTCATTCGGACATGTGACAGATTCTTCTTCTTCTTCTTGTTCTCCTCTTGCGAAACTTTAGTTGCAGTTCGACGGGGGCTGTAAAAATCTCAAGCTTCTCAATGGCGTTTGAGGCGCCACAATCTTTGAATAGAAGCACACAGTTGATGGTGCCAAGGGACTCTCCCCGACATGAGGTGAGTGGGACACCTAGGGCATCAAGAGGGCTCTTCAACCGGTGGGCTTGCGGGCGAGAGTTTAGAGTGGACAGTTTGAGCATCTCTCAACAAAATTTGCTGGTAAACGATGGCCCTACGTCTGTTGATTTTGTTCGACATGACGAGTTTCTCAAGGATGACGAGATACCTGTGGTGGACATGGCCCTATTTGAGGGCGACGCCGACACCTCGAAGAAGAGTGTTGAGCAAATGGTGAATGCGTGCGAGGAGTGGGGATATTTCTATCTAGTAAATCATGGGGTGGAGTTAGAGCTTATGGAGAAGGTGGAAACACAGGCTTACGAGTTCTTTCAATTGTCGACCGCGGAGAAAGAGAAACACGCGTCTCACTATTCCTTGTTGGAAAAGGTCAAGCGGTGGTCTGAGGGGATTATATTGAAACCTGCGGAAACTAACTTGGATGATTACGACAACCAGCTCTCACCTCCGGAGAACAACCATGAATTTTCGTGAGTGTGTGCTTCCATACCTTCCCTTGGACATATCATGAGCATTTGCATGGGTAACATTTAGCCTACTAGAAATACACATAATATTCCTCGAACCCACAGCGAGGGGTGTAGACGGTGAAAGTGCAAAAGCGCACCCGTACCTTTGGGAAGTGGTTCTGGCGTCGTTGAGTTGTCTTGTTTAAGGCCTTTGCATTAGACGTAGATGAAACTAGGGAAACCACGAAGACTTATTCTCCTCATAGTGCTTTCTTGGGTTGATTTGGCAGGACCGTAGTGAAGGAATATGATGATGTCATGAAGAAGCTTGCCAAGCGCATTGTGAAGCTTCTCGTCGTCGGATTAGGGGTGAAGGCCTGGCGGTTCGATGAGTTCCTTGAAGGGGTTGAAGCCACATTACGATGGAATTACCAGCCACCATGTCCACGACCTGAGAATGCAATGGGCCTCAGTCCTCACACTGACCCGTATCTCATCACGTTGCAACATGACAGTGGAATTGGAGGCTTGCAGATTTACCGAAAAGGAGAATGGCTAGGCATTCCTCCTCGAGCAGACGCTCTGCTCGTTAATATTGGTGATGTGTTTGAGGTCAGTGCAACAGTTCTGTACAGTGGGTTGGTCTCATTTTCCAAGCAAGTTGTTTCGAGCAATTCCTGCCAATTGTCGTCCTTGAATGTCGATGCTTAGAGTTTATTGAGAACGTTACAGTCGATGGAGCTGGGTCACTCAAAAGCCTATAGTTTATAGTCGATAGCTATGCTTTTGAGATCAGATCGCGCGTGTGTCACATGAAAATCATTGTTGTGTTGGTCGCAGATCTTAACAAATGGCAAGTTCCAGAGCCCTTCCCACAGGACAGTTGTGAACAAGGTGGAAGGACGTCTGTCGGTAGCGCACTGTCTGGCACCAGCAAAGATGGTGACCCTCATCCCGCCACCAGAGTTATTACGATCTGCACCCAACCAGTACAAGGCACGGACTTACGCGGAATATATGGGCGCCAGAAAGAGGCAAGAATCAAGCAATTCTCTGGAGTTTATGAAGTTGCCAACTAGCGTGTGACAGCAAACGCAATCCTAGCGCACACAACTGTTCATTTACGGCCGAAGGATTGTTCTGCCGTTACCTATGGAAACAGCAGATCAATCCTTCGACCGAACTGGGGTATAATGCCGCGATTGTGCAATTCTCAGTTTGCGAGCTCTGCGACTTCCATTCATCAACTCAGTGTTGGACAGAAGAAGTTGAGGGTTGCAAGGGATACAGATTGTTGAAAGATGGGTACCTGTACAACAATACCGATAACTGAATTAGAGCAGAGGTACCATATCCTACATAGTAATCACAATTAAATGGCCCATATTTTGTTGTGTTTTGTGAAAATTTCTCATTGAATAGAAAGTGACCATACTTCTTACGATATGATATTCATCAGTTGTCAACTGTTACGATTGGCAGTTGTGGAAGAAAATTTGACCTGAATATGTAGATGATGACAGTTTTATAATTTATCAGTTGTGGTCGTGACACTGGTGTTGAGGTCAAGAACACGTGTTTCAGCGTAGCTTGCGCACAGGAAAGATAGGCCTATTGCTGTCATTACTTGCTACAGATACTGCACCATATATACAGTTTCATGCACAGAAACGTAATCTGCGCTTTGTAGATTGGTCCAAGTCAAGAGTTCACGATTGCATATTGGAAGGGAGTTCTCACTACACGTCGGAGAGGACACATGCATAGCGGGCTTACCTACTATAACATCAAGTGCGAGTGTCATTGCGAGTAGAATGGGGCGAAAGACTTAGCTCCATGAAACTAAAGCTAGACTCTGTATGAAAGATTATCGGCCCCACATGATCGTGTGGAGAATCGTCACATCATAAATTCAGTCGACTTCTGGACCAGTTCATTACTATGACGGCTCTAGTCAAGGCTGAGTAAATGTACATAAACGAACCGACCATTCAGTGTGCGATTCTCTTAAATCGGAATCCTGTGTGCGAAGAGAAGGAAGATGAGGGAAATGTGAGAAGCTAAGGAAGACGAGAAGGTCACGCAACACCTTCTGCAGTAACAACCAGTTGATTAGAGTGGGGTTTTCCAGCGATGCGCGCACAACAAGTGCACTATCACCGAGAAACGTGCGGCGGATGGAATGAGGGCGAATGAAGCGCCAGAACGCGTTGTAATATTTTCGCAACTCGCTGCCGCAGGGAGGCAGATGATGCCGCGACTGCCACCAAAATCCTGCTCCAGCCCAGGAGTTGACATGCCCCATCCAAGACTTCTAGCGCCTGTTGAGCTGCAGATGACCTTCCGTAGCCTACTGTCGCTTGTAAAACTACCTTCCTGATCACCCAACACAGCAATCCCTGCGAGCACTCCTGCCTACCCATAACTCACAGGCCTCGCCGAACTGGCTGCAAAGTGGCGAGCTCATGCTGTGCACAAGTCCAGACAAAGTTTACTTCACCGAACCGTTACGTCTGTTCAATGCATCACCATCAGTTTTCTGTGTCTGAACATGATGAACTTGAGGTTCAAAACCGAGATTACTGACAAATAAAGTAATGTCTGCGGGGAGTTGCTGATTTGCTTACTGAATTTTTCTAATCACGGCACCGGACTCTTTTCCTAGTTCGGGTTGTCAGTGAAGCTGTCAATCATGTTTCCAATTGCCCCACCAGCACTAAATCTTGATGTTGCGTTTCCAGAGCCTTGATCATGTTGCATTTTTTTTTCTTTCATGTCAGTTTTTTTTAAGGATTTTGGTGTTGAATTGTTTCTAAATAGTCCAAAAATATGCATTACTATTAGAAGCCACAAAAAAAAAAATCACTAATTTAAAGAATTATTTTGTTGAAAATCACTTGTTAGAAGGTGAAGGTAAGCTATAGTGCATCAATTGGCCATTACGAGCATAATTAGTAAAAGAGACTTATATTTTAGTTTTATATTTTTAATTTTATATATATTTTTTTAAAAAAATATAAAGTAATTTTTGTAATTTTTATGTCACAATTATTCATAAATTATCCATGTAAGAAGTGTTAAGTAGGAAGTAAATATAGATAAATTTGAAAATATCTTTTTAGAAGCTTTATAGACATGGATTTGATTTTATATTTTTTTGTATTTGATTGGTAGGTTAAAACCTTGGCCAATAAATTGGCCATGTGATGTATATGTAAAAAACTTGTCTTATAAGTTAGACACGTGTCAAAGATCCTATGGAATATTGCCACATAGTCTTTAATTAGATAGTATATATGGAGGCAAAAATGAAACCTTTTTTACTCTTATCAATGTCTTTGTAGTCTTTAGTTTTATCTCAAGAGTCTCTAATTTACTTATCTTTGGCAATAGCCATTTTAGATTAATATTATACCATCTTTGAGTGATTATCTATTCTTTTCTAATCATACAAGAGTGTATTGATCTTTTGGTTGTTCGTAATTCATGTCTTTGATAGTTTAACTAAAGTGCTAATTCATTGTTCTTATTTTGTTTTAGAAGTAGATTATTATTATTATTATTATTATTATTATTTTGTTGTGCTTTAAATGTTGCAAATTATTTACTTTTAAACTATTATTATTTTTTTTATTTTCTAAGATTGATTCTTTTCTTAAAAATAGTAGACTACTTTTTTTTTGTAAATTTTTTTATTTGGTATTAGAAGTTGTAAATTACCATCCTCTAATTTGACATGTAGATTTGTTAAAATTATTATTAATAGGTATGGAAGAAAAAACTATAGATATTATACAATACAAAACTAAAAATAGATTTGTAATTATTATAAATCTTCACAAGCTTATCAACACTCTTAGAGTAGAAATCTTACGTATTATTAACATCAATTATAGAAGTACTATTCCTATGCTTATAAAAGTAGTCAACAATGAAGGTTAAAGTCTATGCCAAGAAGTTGTGCAATTGAGAGAAGCAAGTAGATCAAACTCACAATTGAATCCAAAAAGTATTTTTAATACAAATATGAGAGAGACAAGAATAAGTATGTCAAAGAAGTTTGATAGAACAAGGTCAAAATTTCTAAGATCTCTACAATAAGTGAAGCTCCATCTGAAATTGCATCCTATTTAATACCTTAATGGATTTACTTAAGTTGGATTCATAGGTACACTTCCATCTGCAAGTGTTTTCTCTTAGTTTGCACCTTTGATGGAAAATAATTCATGACTCATTTGTAATTTAAATTCATTATTAGAAGTGTTTGTAACCATATTTAGATAAAATGATCAAAAAAGGACAACAGAGATCAAACAACTATCTTTACAACAAGGATCATGTTTAACTACTATTTATGTTATAAAATTCCAAAACCTTATTTGCAATATAGATTGAAATGATAAAGCCCTAGTTAATCAATTTTGATATAGATTGAAAGATAATGCTGAAGATATATTATTAATAATATTGAAAGCTAACTTATTAGAACAATTTATTGCTTAAGCCAATGCATGCAATAATCAACTTTTTGAAAGATGCTAAGAATAAAGATTTAGTTAGAGACATGGAAATTAAGTCATGGCAATAGTTCTTAAATTTTGAGAAACTGATATATTAAAACTAAAACTTATAAAAATTGATACAATACATTTTAAATATTTTAGTGAGCAAGAAAAGAATCAATGTCATTAAGAAGGATTGTGCTTATATTATAGGGAATCTAAGTACACTACTCAATATCATCTAGAAAAGCAAGACAAATACAAAATGAGGAGCATAGTTGCCAAAAAAGACAATATATCAAAAAATAAGTTTTTTTTAGCTATAATAGGGACCATGTGGCTTAAATCTTATACAATATCTAATAGAGGTAATATTTTCTCCTCAAATCCTTCACATTATTTTATAATAGATATTTATTTATATCTATTAATAAAATTTAAAGCCTACATCTTATTAGATTCAAGAAAATTGGCTTGTATTATAGACATGAATATTATTAAAAAACATAAAATATCTTTAGTAAAAAAAATAAGCATGTACATGTAGAAGTCATAGATGGTTATTTTTTTGTCTTTAAGAGATATCATCTATAAAATTTTTCTTTTAAATGTAGCAACTAATAGTCATAATAGCTTGGTAATATTTAATGTTATTAAATTTTATTTTAATCCAATTATTTTAGGTTTATCATGAAAGAATAAGTATAGTTCTTGAATATATTGGATTTCTTGTAATTTTAATTTTTCTAATAGTATAATCAATTTTTTTTATTATTGAGGTGAAAAAATCAGAAGTCTACTACAATCAAATTCTTATTAGTAAATACAAGAGCTTTTATGCATACTATAGAAGAAAGATAAACTTTTATTTTTTATACCACATCTATTTTTAATGGTAGAAAGATTTCAAGTGATATTCCAAGCCATTACAAAAATTATTAAGATGTCTTTGAAAAAAATATAGATATTCATGAAGAATATTTTTCTAATGAATGTTAAATTGATCTTCAAGAAAAAAATCAACTACTATTTGGACCAAAATATAATTTACTATAGAATACGTTGGATGCACTAAAAAAATATATTGATAAGAATTTGTATAAAAATTTCATATGTCATTTAATATCTCCAATAAGAACTTTTATTTTATTTGTAAAGAAAAAAAATTATAGATGAATGTGGATTATTGAAGATTCAATAAGATCAATATCAAGAATACATATCTTTTATTTTTTATATCAAGACTTTTTAATCAAATCAATTAAAAAATGATATATACTAAAATAAATTTATAAAGAGCATACAATTTGGTATGCATCATAAAAAGAGATGAATAAAAGATTAAATTTTTAATTAGATTTAGGTATTTCGAATATAATGTTATGCTTTTTAGATTCATAAATGCATGAGTTTCTTTTCAACATCTAATAAATAATGTTTTTTGAGAGTTTTTTTTGATGATTTTGGTGTTTGTTATTTCGAATATATTTTAATCTATTCTAAGAGGAGATTACTCAAGTTTTCTTCTTAGAATACAACTTTTTAAATAATGGACTTATGATGGATTCTAAAAAAGTTCATTATATCATATATTAAAAAATTCTAAGGACAATAAAATATGTTTGTTTATTTTTTAAAATTTATCAATTATTGTCAAATCTTCATTACAATTTTTTTTCAAATTATAACTCTGCTTATATATTTGACTTTTAAAGACAATCTCAAAAAAGAGTAAAAAAGCTAAAATATAGTTTGAAGCTTTCAAGAAAATTGTTATTTTTGTACTAATCTTATATTGCATTGACTTCTCTAAGACATTTTTTTTATGGAAATAAATGCATCAAATTTTGCCTCAAGTATAATATTCTTATAAATGGGACTAGATGATAAAATTAATCTAATAGCTTTTTATTCAAAAAATATTTTAATATTCAAGATCAACTACTAAATTCA